GAAAAGTAAACGATGCACCTAAGCCCAGCCCGATCCATTATGAGGTCATTTGATGCAAGAGAACACTGACTCCTCCCAAAGACGACATCATAGTCTTTGCACGGTCTAGCTAGAGGAAGGCTAATCAATCGGATGACAGGCTACTCCCGCAAGGGAGCTGGGACATTTTTAACGACCTGCGTTTGAGCTCTATTCTTGTCCAGCCGCTTTTAGATTTGTGGTGGCAGGTCCGCACTGGCCCTGCGGCCCCCCTTGCTGCATCATGCTGTGAGGCCATGTGTTTTCACATTACCTTGACTCGTTCACTTATAGCCTCAGAGCCAGACCCGACCGAGGGCGTAAATGTCATTCGCAAGTGATGTGGGAGAATTCAACCTTGCCACTAATGTGTGTAAACACAAAGCACTGAAACAAGATTCCCTCACAAGAAGGTGAAAGTGGATTGAGGTAGATTAAGTAAATGGACACAACATCCATACGATCGATCCGTGATGGAGTGCTGTGCTGACTAAAGCCCACCCTCAAGCCGCCCGTGAGTGAGGTGAAGAGAAAAAGCAGGAAACTCACCCCATGCAGGGATTCTGCAGGACCCCCATTATCCTCTGGATGCGGTCCATGGCCACACTCTCTTGAAAAGTGCTGAGGCCTGAAAAGAAGAACATACAGCTTAAATTCTCTCTTTTACAAGCAATGCCAGCTTATTGTCTCTGACAGGCCATGCTACGTCTGCAAGGCAGATGGGTTCTTGTGAAGCATGTGGGAGGACAGACTTGCTGTCTCTGTGGCCAGGAAGTCTGGTGTCGTCTATAGCCCTTGCATTGACAGCGGTCCCAGACAGAGCCCCTATAAGCAGGTCCGCCTTGTACGCAACCTGTTTTCTAGCACATGTGGGGTTCTAGCCAATAGAACTTTTTAAGTACCCAATATTGCTAATACCAGCTGTTGGCATTTTACAGTAATTTGTGTCTCAACCAGCCACTATGCATCAAGATTTCGGGAACAAGTTATTTTTCTGTCCGCACTGAAAGTGAAAACGCTGTGCAATGTAAGTCAGTCAGTCAACCAGAATATTGCGTGGGTGGTTCTCTGTTTGCACGCTTGACAATAAGAACAGTAATACCATGATTTTTTAGATGGCCACTACTTTCATGGTTTTACATTTTACTTGACTTGAGGGAACTTTGAGATGTTTCTTAACTTTTATAATTAGTATCTCCCTGTCTAGGTTTGATGTTTAATATGCATGAGGAGTGTGATATTAACGCGGTGTAAAATGGAAAATGAAGTGACCTACAAAACAGTGTCACCTGGCTAGTTAGGACAAAAACGGACAGCTTTTAATTACACTTTGTCACCTGGTTAGGACACAGTGTGATGGTGCAGATTTTATTAACAGTTACAACAGCCACATAAAACACTGAGTCAAATGTTAGAATATTTTATACCACTAGTCAGGAAAACAAAGGAGTCAGCCAATCCAATCTCTATAGTGCCTTTGGTATTTCAGTCGAGGTCCTTGGGTATTTTTGGAGGCGTGCGGTTTGCACTGCTTTAGACGTGCATCTTTCAACCATACACGTTTTATTATGACTAAGCGAGGTAGCATGTGCCACCAGGAAATGACTGTGGTTGATATGAGAGCCTTATTTCATGTATATTCATGATGCATCTCTGCCCCAAATCTCATGACACTTCTCGTACCATGGCCTGCTGCCTCTAGTTTGGCTGTTCTCTTGTATACTGCGCTAACTAGGCAAGGTTTTGGATATGCAGAAGACTAATACAAATGAATGAAAGATTACTCACGTTCTCGGTATCTGCCTGAGCGGAGGCCATTAAGGATCGAGGACAGTGGTTGAATGTAACACTGCAGCTCCAAGCACTGCAAAACAAAGAGCATCATTCAGTATTTCCTTGTTTAGCTTTTCACATTCAGCATTTCTCGAACATTTCTAGAGTTTTTGATGTTTTCGTTTCAGTTGATGGTACACTGTCAATTACCATTAACAAAAAAACATCAAGTTAGGGCATTCCTTTGTACGGCTCATCATTTGCAGAAGAACAACGACACTGTGATACAAAACAAAGTGACTCATCTACTCTCTCACACATTTATGCAAATGTAATGGAATGAGTTATCATTGCAATTCTACAAGGTAGAGGAAAACATTGAGTTTCTTCGTTCAGAGGCCTCGTGTGACTCATTCACATTTCACCTAGTAAGAACACACAAAGGAGGGGTCTTCCTGGAAGTGGTTTTGCTTGGTGTATTTTTTTTTTACATTTATTCTGCTCTGGTGGAGATAAGGCTGCTTTTAAGAACACCATGCCCCTTCCCTGGCATGCCAACGAGTCAAAAAGTGGCACGTCTCACCTTGCAAGCGAACAGCCTGTCTTTCTCCATTTGTTCAGGTTTGAGCTGCCTCTCCCTTTGCTCCAGGACCATGGAGCTGCATGTTCTCTTCAGTGCCTGCCTCTTTTTGCCTACAGGGCTCTCAGGGCACCGGCTGTAATTGGTCCGAGTCTCTTGTCCCAGGTGACAACGGCCACCGTCTTCGCTGTAGTCGGAACTATCGCAGCTGGAAGGAGAACTTCCCCAAGAGCTCATGTTCTCTTTGTCCATTACCTCCCCTTTATCTCCATTCCTCTTTGAGAGTGACTGGCAAGTCTGGGTCCCCTGGATGACCCCCGAGGAGGGGGATTTTGGCAAGTTGGTTTGTTCTTGTGCTTTGGTACAGTCTGGTTCTAACTCACTATCGTTGTCCTCATCGTCACTGGCCAGCCAGTCAATGGAATAGTCAGAATCTGAAGCTGACATCTTAAGAAGCAGGATCTAACCAGCACGTACCATCACTGACCTGTGGGGGAAAAAGGGAGTACTTTAATCTCCAATTTCCATAAACGTTAATAATAAACACCATCACACAATACAACATGAGCTGGCGTGAAATTACCTAATGGAGAAAGAATGCTCTGTCTTTCACTGTATTGGTTTGGCATTAATATAAAAGCAAAAACTCAACTGTCTTTTTTGGACCTATTTGCGAGATTCAAAGTCTTGCTGATACCAGTGGTCCAAAATGACAACGCAAGCACGCATCTTCAATCAAACCCTGAATTCACGTAGGCTCAGACCAGCATGTTTTCCAGACACACCACCCGAGTCTCATACAGACACTAAAGACGAACAACGGCCATAAAAAAGACTTACTGCCGTTTCACAAACAGTGACGAGAACTCACATTTACGGTTAATTTTTATGTAGTCAATAACAACACCAATTCTTATGTACATTAACAGAACAAAAACAAAACCTAAATAGAATAATGTTTATTTACACGTATACATGTTTTTGTTAAAAATAGCCTTGTTCATGCATAATATGGTTGCAACAGGGGGAGACTGTCTTTATTTATTCAAAACCGAGATGTTTGAAATAAGATTTTGTTCTGCAGTCTGTTTGGAACATGTGTCCTGTGCAGCACATGCATCTGTTTGCTCTGATTGCACCTAACTGAAAAACACTTGAAAATGTAGCCTTACAGAACTAGAAGGCTATGATGAAGCAGGTGACAAAAAAAAAGCACATATTCAAAGCCCTGTTTGTTTATTCAATGAGACCCCGAATGCCACAGCCATGGTGACCACCATTTGACACAGAACAAAATAAGCTGTTTTAATCATGCCATTCCTTCTATGGCCTTATTAATATATTACTAAGATTCATGCATTACTAGATTGTGCCTAAATGCCCATAATGTTTGCTGGTTACGTGTAAAATTTAATAATTTTATGGGCTTGCTTTTAAAAGAGGATGATTTGAAAATAGTCCTGGAACACAGCTGGGACCAGATCTGCGGCCTTGAGCATTACCAGTAAATTTTTTTCCCAGCTTGTATGATCAATTCCATCAGTTCTTGGTAATTCATAATAGACAGGCCTTGAGGAATACACATAAAAGGAGTGTCTACAACGTCATGTTTAATGAGTCAAGCCAAGAATCTTTGCTAAAGGCACACGTTGTACATGCTTTCTCTAAGGGTGCTGACCACTCATCTTTATTTTAAGGTGAAGGGCTTCTCATAAATCAACAGGACGTTTACATGATGCATGTTCATAAAATTACACATTTATGACTAAA